CTGCCTGTCGCTACAGAAGTTTCTAGACGATCTGGTAACACCTAGATCACGAACAATCTACCAATGCAACAAACACATTGAGTAACAATAACAACAACAAACTTACTGAGTGAACAATAACAACAACAAACTTGAGTAAACAAACTTACAATAACAACAACACATATACAGGCGAGGGAATAACAAAGAAAGAGGAATAACAACAACACATATACAGGCGAGGGAATAACAAAGAAAGAGGAATAACGTTTAACAAGAATTGTACGACAATAACAAAATAGAAAATGAAAGAGGAAATGGAAGGATGTAGAAAAATCTATACAGTGGTTGTTGTTGTGAAGTTATTCAAATAAACTGCGTAGTAGAAATTTACGTTACAATTCAAATTCTTAAATTAACGGAATTCATCTAAATTAACTTAAATCTAAAGTTATATTCGTAACAATACATTATTGCAGAATGCACTCAAGTAGAGGTACCGATCTGCATGTGTGTCTGTCTCTTCTCACTTTTGTTATTTGTTAAATTTGTCCAGTTTTTTAGAAATAATAAAGAACACATTCGAAAAAGAGTTGGAGCTGTGCGCATTTTTTGATTTTGCCGGTCTTGATATTTGGTGGTTTTTTACATTTACACTGGGAAGAACCCTCAGCATAAAAGTTGATTTTTTAAGTTTAAAATTAAGTTTATGCTACTCCAGAAAAACGCTTCTGGATTGAACATTGGCGACCGTGACAGGACAGTGTAAATCTATCGTTCGTTGTTAAACCACTGATTTGTCGCGCTTTTCGTACAAATCATTATTTATCGCAACATTGTCGTTTATCGTTGTTAACCATGACTTTGGAGGAACTAAAACAACAGCGCACCATTATCAAGAAAAATATTTCTCGGATAAAAACTGTAATTGATGCCAGTGTCAAGGGAGAAAAACCCCTATCTTCTGCAGATTTGAAGTGTCGTCTTGGAATTCTGGAGTCATACTTCAAACAAGTCTTATCTATTCAAAGTAAAATTGAAAATTTGGATGCAGAAGATAATGGTCGTGCAGATATTGAAGACTCCTACTGCTACATCAATTCCCAAATTCAACAACAACTTTCTGAAGATGGACATAATACAACCTTTACCGACTCGTCATTTGCTGTATCTGTTCCCACAAACAAACTTCCTCGCTTAAAACTACCCACATTTAATGGTAAATACAGTGACTACAAAAATTTTATTACATCTTTCAAGCAAATAATCGATCGTGAACATGGTTTATCAAACATTGAGAAGTTCAATCATTTGTTAAATTGTCTTCAAGGCCATGCATTAGAAACTGTAAAGGCATTTCATGTTACCAATGAAAACTATCCAAAGGCTTTAGAGAGACTGAAGGCTCGGTACGACAACAGTACCTTAATATTCCTGGAAAATATCACATCACTTTTCGATTTGCCTGAGGTTTCAAAATCAAATTCGGATCAATTAAGAAGCCTAAGATAACGTGTCTGCAATTTACAGTTCACTTCAGTCTCTTGGTTCACAAAATGACATCGTAAATGCTATGTTAATACATATTGTAATGGAAAAGGTTGATGTGGACACCAAAAAGAAGTGGAAGGATTCGTTGGACTTCAGTGAACTTCCTACATGGGACAGTTGTTCCAAAATTCTAGAGAGAAGATGCCAATATTTAGAGTCTTTAGACATCAATGTATCGCGTCGCCAGGATCACATTTCTAAGAAATACATTCCAAAACCATACAAACATGGACATTCCTTTTCATGCTCTAAACGAAGTTGTTCGTACTGCTCTCAAGCTGACCATTCCATTACACAATGCCAACAATTTAAAGATTTGAATGTTGGTGTTCGTTTTGAAAATGTAAAGAAGCTTGGTCTTTGCATTAATTGCCTCGCCAAAGGTCACCAAGTCACAAACTGTCCATCAACTTTCAAATGCAGACATTGTTATCGATCTCATCATACCATGCTCCATCGTTCTGAAATGGCTCCAAGACAGTCATCGACTGCACCATCAACTTCTGCTGCTGTGGATAATGATATAGTTGCTACAGTGCACACACATATGGATAACGCTTCGCATCAGGTCCTCCTTGCTACGTCCATGGTTCTTGTTCGCGACAATTTTGGTACTTACAAATTGGGAAGGGCTCTGTTAGACTCTTGCTCACAAATAAATTTTATAACTGATGAATTCGCTCAGCGTCTATCTTTGCCAAGAAATAAAAAATGTGTTGAAGTTTCTGGCATTGGCAATGCTAATACAAGGGTTAAACAGAACTGTTTAACGAATATAAAATCTCGGGTAACCGATTTTGAAGCCCAACTTTCATTTTGTATTACACCACACATTTCGTACCAACCTGATTCGGAGCTTGATGTTTCATCTTGGAATCTACCTTTCAATACCCTCTTGGCTGATGAAAAATTTTACAATTCAAATAAAATTGACTTGTTGATTGGCACAGAAACGTTCTTCGATATACTGTCTGTTGGTCAAATTAGACTTGGTCCAGATCTTCCGAAGTTACAAAAGACATTACTGGGTTGGATAGTGACTGGGAGGTACAACTCATCAAGACCTAACAGCATCGGCAAATCTTACCTAGTGTCAACTGAGGAAACAATTAATTTGAACTTGGAACGACTTTGGAAAATCGAAGAACTGGAGAAAAATAACAAAAAAATGTCATTGGAACAAATTGAATGTGATAATTTTTTTATAAACAATGTAACTCGTGAATCATGTGGTAGAATTGTTGTTAAACTACCTTTCAAGGAATCTCCTTCATCCCTTGGACAATCTCGCAATACAGCTCTTCGACGCTTTTCTGCTCAAGAACGACGGCTAGCAAATAACCCGGAGCTTAAATCCGAGTATGTAAGTTTTATGAGAGAATATGAGAATTTTGGGCATATGACTCTTGTTAAAAATTTAAAATTGGATGAACCTCATTACTATATTCCCCACCACTGTGTGCTCAAACCTAATAGCACATCAACAAAGCTTCGAGTGGTGTTTGATGCCTCATGTGCTACATCTTCTGAGAAATCACTCAACGAAATTTTAATGGTTGGTCCCACAATACAAGAGGAGCTTTTCCTGCTGCTACTGCGCTTCCGACTCCATCGTTTCGCTTTAACCGCAGACATTGTAAAAATGTACAGGCAAGTCTTGATCAGCACAGAAGACCGTAAGTTTCAATATATTTTTTGGCGATATTCGGACGAAGAAGAAATTAAAACATATCGGTTGAATACCGTAACATACGGCACTTCAGCAGCACCATTTCTTGCAGTTCGTGCTCTACATTATCTTGCCGATGAATACTCTGAACGATTTGAGATTGGTGCAAATGCTTTAAAAAATTCATTTTATGTTGATGATTTCCTAGGAGGTGCTGAAACTATTGCAGAGTTAACCGAGCTTAAACACCAAGTAACAGAACTGCTTAAAATTGGGTGTTTCGAGCTAGACAAATGGCATTCGAATCACGAAAATTTTCGTCACGATAATTCGGTAAAAGATTTAAACATATATGACTCAATAGTCACGAATGCTTTAGGAATCTCTTGGGATCAACAGAAGGATCAGTTTTTGTTTTCATTCTCCCCAAAGCAGAAAACGGATATAGTTTCCAAACGCTCCATTCTATCGTTGTCATCCACACTCTTTGATCCACTTGGACTTGTGTCACCTTTGATTATAAAGGCGAAAATCATTCTTCAAGAGCTTTGGATAATAAAAATTGGATGGGATGAATCTGTTCCACAAGAGATTCATACTGCTTGGCTAGGTTTCCTCGATGATCTGCAAAACTTACATTTACTTAACATTCCTCGTTATTGTTTGTCACCAAATCCAGCATCAATACAATTACATGGCTTCTGCGATTCATCTATTCGAGCTTATGGTTGTTGCATTTACATCCGAGTTCTATCACGATCTGGTACGGTTTCCACACAACTATTTACAGCGAAGTCGAAGGTCGCTCCAACAAAGCGAAAATCATTACCATGTTTAGAACTATGTGGGGCTCACTTACTATCTAGACTATACAACAAAATACAACATATTCAAAGCATACCAAGGACTTCAGTGTATCTGTGGACTGACTCCCAAATAGTTTTGCACTGGCTGAAACAACACTCTTCCACCCTTTCAGTTTTTGTTGGAAACAGAATTTCGGAAATACAAGAATCTACGAACGGCTGCGTATGGAGGCATGTGCCTTCTCATTTAAATCCCGCAGATATTGTATCTAGAGGATCAACTGTATTGGATTTGACGTCGTCGATTTGGTTTGGTGGTCCAAACTTTCTCAAACAAAATGAAGATAAGTGGCCAATGAACAAATGTAATGAAATAAATCCCGAAGAAGTTAATAAAGAAAAACGGAAAACTACACTTCTTTTGGAGATACAACCTAATAGTATAAGCAAATTTATCGAGGGCTGCAGTTCGTACATAAGGATAATTAGAGTTGTTGCATGGATATTTCGTTTTTGGCATTCCTTATCTTCTCCAAAATCAATGTTTTTAAATTCTGATTGCTTACAACCCCAAGAACTAGAATACGCTCTGTTAGCTGTAGTTTGGAACGTACAACAACAATATTTCAAAGATGACATAAAACGCGCAGTCAAGAAAAGGGATCCACAGGGCCCACTTAAGGGCCTTAATCCATTTATAGACGATTCGAGTGGAATTGCAATTTTGAAAGTTGGTGGTCGTCTCGAACTTGCCCATGTTCCTGAAACTCAAAAACACCCCATGATTATGCCGAAGGAAAACAACTTTGTTAAATGTTACATTCAATATCTTCACATTAAAAATTACCATGCCGGTCCGAAGGCATTAGTCTCTCTTGTCAGAATGCGTTTTTGGGTAATAAATTTACGAAATCTTTGTCGTACTATTGTGAATCGCTGTCCACACTGCATACGTTATCGTCCAAAACTATTACAACAAATGATGTCAAATTTACCAGCTGATCGTCTCAATCCCTCTCGAGTTTTCGCCAGATGTGCTGTAGATTTCTGTGGTCCCATAAACACGTATTTAAGAATCAGAGGAAAGGTGCCATACAAAACGTATGTAGCGGTGTTTGTCTGCCTAGCAACAAAGGCTGTTCATATCGAAGCTGTGTCGGATTTATCCACCGATTCCTTTATTGGCGCTCTAAAAAGGATGATAGGTAGAAGAGGTTTGCCAACAGATATTTTCTGCGACAATGGCACAAACTTTGTGGGTGCGAACACAAAACTCAAAGATTTGAAAAGGTTTTTGTTTGATGAAGATAACAAAAACCACATAACTAATTTCTGCGCCAATGAGTTCATAAATTTCAATTTTATTCCACCCAGAGCACCCCACTTTGGTGGTCTTTGGGAGGCAGCTGTTAAATCTGCTAAGGGTCATCTAACTCGTACATTCACAAATACTCGCTTGACCTACGAAGAACTCGCCACTGCCTTAACTGAGATAGAAGCTATTTTAAATTCGAGACCTATATCGCCAATGTCGTCGGATCCGAGCGATTTAGAGGCCCTCACACCAGGCCATTTTATTATAGGTTGTTCGATGCGATCTCTTCCAGAGCTTGACCTCTCGTCCAAAAACGTAAATAATCTTGATCACTGGGCCCAAATTACTAAGATAAAACAGCACTTTTGGAAGAAATGGTCTCATGAATATATCAATGAGCTTCAAGTGAGAAACAAGTGGACGTCTTCCAACCCAAATGTTGCTGTGAATACCTTAGTGCTAGTACACGAAGACAATGTTCCTCCTCAGAAGTGGTTAATGGGTAGAATTATTGAAACTATAAGTGGAGGAGATGGACGAATACGAGTTGCCGAAGTAAAAACCAAGAAAGGAATTATTCGTCGACCTATTCACAAATTAGCCATGCTCTTAAATTGAAAGTGTCCTTTCAATGGGGCCGGTATGTTAGGTCAACGCATATTTATTGTCATCAATTCATGTAATTTATACTTAATTTAGCAATTGTAATTATTAAAATCGTCAGAATTATTACTATTTTCATTGTTGCATGTTGATCGGTGTCCACTGTATCTTTTTTCGCGTTTGTTAATATTTCTTTCTCTGCTTTCGTTGGCCGTAAGCATAGCTAAGTAAATAATCGAAAACGAATATTTGCAATGAGTTGTTTGCTGTTCTTTCTAATGATAGTTAGAAATACAAACAGCATATATATTTCACTCAATTATACATTATTGCAGAATGCACTCAAGTAGAGGTACCGATCTGCATGTGTGTCTGTCGATGCATTTTTGTATTCTTCTTCTCACTTTTGTTATTTGTTAAATTTGTCCAGTTTTTTAGAAATAAAGAAGAACACATTCGAAAAAGAGTTGGAGCTGTGCGCATTTTTTGATTTTGCCGGTCTTGATATTTGGTGGTTTTTTACATTTACACTGGGAAGAACCCTCAGCATAAAAGTTGATTTTTTAAGTTTAAAATTAAGTTTATGCTACTCCAGAAAAACGCTTCTGGATTGAACAGAGTTCATCATTCCAATAATGTTATTTTGTCTATGGTCAAATAGCTTTCCCTCCAACATAACATAGAAAAAATTACAAATATTTAACATTGTCAAGAAATGTATTTGTTTTTTCTTTGTTTCAATTTCAAAAACAAAATAAATAGGAAACAGAAAAATAATTAGAATTTAAAAATAACTTATCAACTAGACAAATTACAATTTTAGATTGTTTTCCTCTCAAATTATATATTACAATATAGTTGTAGGATTGTTGTTGTAATAGCTATAGGGGATATATGAAATTAGCTAAAATGGGATAAAAATAATAAACAAGATAAAGATTAATTTATTGGGCTAATAAAAAATATTGAAAAATTAAATGACAATAACAGTAAATTTCGAAATCTTCAAAGATTATAATAAAAGTGACATGGCATTTGTTCGAAAAGAAAAAATCCTTGTGAAGATCTGATTTACTGTTATTGTAGTGATTATATTTAAAAACAAAATTAAGTGTAGATTTTGCTAGAAAAACTTGTGAGGTAGTATATTTAAATACTAGCGGATTATTTATTTACTACAATGTTGATTAGTTATTTCTTGTTTTGATTATCAATTTATGTGAGGGATTAATTGTTATGTGTGTCATTATAATTAATTAATTAAATTAAATATAATTTCCATAAGAATAAAATTGTTTTTAGCATCTTTCGTGTGTTGCTTTGTGTTCTTTGGGGTTTGAAAATAAATCTTAGCTACCCTTTTCTTGTAAGGTTAGCAAAAGCAACCTTTGTTTGGTTTCCTTTTCTAATTTTTTTCTTCCAGGCAAATTTTGTTTTATAAAACAAATAACTAAATTTTTAAAAATAATTTAAAACTGGCCTTAAATTTAAATTGTTTTTTTTTTCTTCTCCTTTTATCTCTCTTGCTAGGTTGTAGAGTTATTTTTTAGTTTGTTTTTTTTTTTCATTCGTTACTACTAACTAATCTTAATCAATAAAAACTAAATCACGTATTGATCATGGTTCCTGTTTGGCATTTTCTAAATATTTAGAAAAACCCAAAAACTAAGAATTAGTCCATCAATTCGCAATAGTTCTAAAATTGAACCACATTTTTTATCCCTGCGTGGCAATTTTATCAACTCGATTTTGAAGTCTCTAAATTATTTTCTATATGTTCCGGTTGATGATGTCCATTGGTCTGTGCTTTGGGCTGGGCATGCGTTTCAGGATTATCCATATTTGGCACTTCGATTTTTGGTGGTGGTACAGCACCCTTAGCCTTAGCCAAACTATTACGCTGTTCATAGATTTCATTGACCAACTTCTTAACGAATGGATGATTGAATTTGCCTTCAGTAGAATCGAAAAATTCCTGATGTTTCAGCAGGCAATTGTCACGTTTCTCATATTCAAAGGCCTGCATTACCATATCCAAGCGGTCCAAGTCTTTGACAAAACGTGACTCGGGACTTTCACCGTGTTCGTATTCCTGAAATAAAGAAGAAAGGGAATTAATAAAAATTGAATACAACAAAAAATATATAAAAGAACAAGTTTTCGATACAATTCATTCCCAGGACGTAAGTATGTTTAAGGCCTACATCAAGGCGTGGATTTTTTAAGAGTATTTTTCAAGGCCCATCCAACAAAGCGTGTATTTTTTAGAAAATATTTTTCGAGGCTAATATGGCATGTATTTGTTAAATATTTTTAAAGGCATAAATTAAGGCATGGATTTGTTAAAGAATATTATTCAAGGCCTAAATCAGGTTATAAGACTAAATATAATAAAAATATTTTTCAAGACCTTTAAAGACCGAACTTGCCATGATCTTATTTTAATGATTTGCTAGACCCCTACTCTGTAGGATAACTCTCTAAATATACTCCCCAAAGCCTTGGACAACAACTTCTGCAAAGATCAAATTTTTGCTGCAGACAGTTCAACATTCTGCCTCATATGCATCGATGTGCCTAAGAAGGACATTGAGGAAACTACCACCGAGAAGACAAAAGCCAGGCCAAGTCACAAGTCTTCACAGGTATCTTCGAAGCCAACGCCAAAACTTGTTGAGGCGACAAATCAATAAATGTTTTCAAATGACCAAGGGTAGCAATCATTGACAAAGGTGATCAAGACGGGTGCATCAGTAAGGTTCATTTATTGGTAAACGATCGGCATCTAAAACCATTTTTATAACAAACGTGGTAAGGGTCAATAAGGAGTCTATGCATATTCTCAAAATGAAAAATGTGTCTATCTCGTTTCCTTTTGCCTGTTACAAACATATGCACAAAGACATAATACCCTGTACCACAGTGTGGTGAAGGATATAATAAATATTTTATGGTGAATTATCCGGACCATATGCGTAGAATTTTAAAGATTATTATAGGGACAATTAGAGGGGAGATTCAACGAATATTTGATGGAGAATCATCCAGATCACACGAGTGTGGTTTTCTAGACTATTTGATAGAGAATAATCCCGACCATTAGATTGAAGATTTATGGAGAATTAGATATACCATAATAATGGGACTTTGAAGACAGACTATTTTATAGAGAATTTTACGAAACATTGGAGTGGATATATAAGGAATATTTTATGGTCATTTATTTGCACCATACGGGTGGAGTTTTACAGACTATTTGATGGTTAAGAGGCTCATAAGCCATATTGGACAGTGTTCGAAGAAAATTCATACGTATCAAGGTTCGACATTTATCATCATGACATCGCACCAGAATTTTGTTTTTCAGAGTAGATTGTTCTTGTAGTAGCGGACATTTTCCCATGGTATAAACCCGTTTTTATACCCTTCACCACACTCTGATACAGGGTATTATGTCTTTGGGCATATGTTTGTAATAGGCAAAAGGAATCGAGACAGATCCCTGTTTCCTTTTGAGAATATGCATAGAATCACTTTCTGAGTCGATTTTAAACAAAGTACAGGTCGCATTTATAATCCGATTTGGCGCAGGTCATTTATTTTGCCCAAGGACGAACCCTATTGAAATTGGTGAACATCGGTTCAGATTTAGATATAGCTCCCATATATATTTTCGTCCGATTTTAGGTAAATGGTGCACCAAATTTCCTATATATCTTTCGATTTGCACGAATTTTGGTATAGCGTACTGAATTAAGTCAAGAATGATGTGTGCTAAGTTTCGTGAAAATCGGTTCAGATTTGCATACACCTCCTATATATATTTTCGCCCGATTTTAAGTAATTGGTGCACTAAAAACCCATAGCTAGGCCGATTGACAGAATGTACTGAAGTTAACATAAATTAATCTCTGGCAAGTTTCCTTGAAATGCGTTCATATAGTCGGCCCAGTCCGACTTTACTGCTTTCCCTACTGGTTTGTATAACATTCGGTAGTTAATGGCTTTGTACGCCCGACAACATTTTAGTGTAGGTAAAAAAATATTTTAAAGAATATTTTAGATCATTTTCAGGCCCATAAGCGCCCATATTTTGTTTTTGTTTGGGGAAGTCATTCTGCTTTTCCTTGAATTCACACCTAGACTCCATTTATGTCCATGGAAATAAATAAATTAAAAACGTAGTACTTTTTCGATTATATATTATTTGATACCACTTACCTCAAATAGCTCCATCATTCGTTTACCACGTGGTTCAATCAATTTACAAATATCCTCCATCGCTTTCAATTCCATGGCTTTCTTTTCCTCTTTCGATATGCCACAGAATGGTGTTATATCACCGACTAGACTTTCCGCCAAATCATGAACCAATGCCAATTCCATGCAACGAATTTGATTTAGACCCTCGGTACCATCCAGCAAAAATGTTAAGATGCTCATGCGATACATGTGGCCTGAAATCGATTCACAATCATTGACATCACGTAATACCCAGCCGGTACGTTTTGTGTGCTGCAAAGAAAAGAGAGACGAGAAGAAAGGAAACAATAAATAAATGCGTAAATAATTTTGTAATTAAAATCAATTATGTAGCTAAAATATGTTGTAAGAGAAACAAGAGGAAAACAATAAATTGCGGATGATTTGCAGCAGGGGAAAAATATAATGTTTTCCGAACCAATTGCTTATAGACGACAATGCAGACAATTAGCTAAATTATATTTTTTACGAATTAAGAAGAGAGATAAATGTCAAACAGGGGCTTCCACCAGGCCAGAAATAGTATCAAATTGCTGGTTGAGGCGGCGGGGTTCTGTGCAGTCCAACTGCTGATGGTTTTGTAATAGATAAATTGTAATGGCTAAATGACGCAGTTTACTATGTCGTCTTACATTGTTACAATGTAAATACATAATTTGTTTAAGCATCAACGTCAGTGCTGACATTATGGCAATATTGCTTTGGAAGAAAAAACTTATTATCCCGACCTTGAAAGTGAAATGAGCAGATATGAGGAGTCTTGTTGGCGAGACAGAATACTAAGAAGGGATGAGCCTTTAATTAATAGCCTTAAGGGGACCCCCCCATTCTCGGGGTCAAAATTTTTGTTGATATAATTCGAATCTACACTGATTAAAGAATGTCTCTACAAAATTTCAAGTGAAAATCTCAAGAACTGTTGAAGATATATCCGATTTAGTGTGTCAGCATCAAGTGACGGCTAAAGGGTTTCTCAAACTTTAAACGCGTTTTTCTCTAAACATTTTTTTGCGAATGGCGGGCACGATAACTCAAAAACTAATAATCCAATCGGTTCCAAATTTTGCAACGTTTCTCTGGGAGTGTATAGCTCTCGTATGAACTAGGATAAAGCCAATCGGAGAAGATCTTCCTTATTTTTTAACTTGGTTTTTGGTAAAAAATCGGCGATTTTCCAAAAATATTTTTTCAAAGGTCCACCATTTTGTTAATTTTAGAGCGAGGTCAATAATCCTAGTTCATACGAGAGCCAGACATGTACTCTTTGTTCCAGTGAGGAGTTATCATGCCCGCCATCAAAAATAAGGACTTTTCTTTAATTACAAAAAACAACAACAAAACAATAACAAAATTTTTTTGTAAATTATTTTTCTTCTCTTTTAAATCTTCAATTATATATGTGCGAAGTTACAAACCTTAACAAGCATTGGTATAGATTTACCAGCCCATTGAAAATCTTGAAAAAATAAAATCGAGAATGGGGGGGTTCCCTTAAGATGATGTGAGGGGACATATTATTCTATAATTCATCACATAATAAATTAATTATTAATTTCCTCTAATACGGATCTGCAAGTCATTTGGGTTCACCGAACTTAATCATTCCTAAACGAATAATATATGTAAGGTATTAAATACTATCTCATTAATTTATATTTTATTCCAATAAAACACTTGCATGTGTGCTTGGGTACCGCACCTCAGCGGTCAGAGTACATGCGGACATTGTTTTCAAACAAAAAAAATGCATAATCATGCCTTCATTCATTCATGCAATAACGAGAATGTGATAACAGCAATAATTATTAGAAAGAAAAAAAAAAACAGCTCACGTGAGACTTGAACAAAAAAAATGAAATGCAATAAGAAGTCCCATAAAAGGCCAGAGTCCAAAAGATTCGGAATTCATAAAGAATATTTTTCGAAGGGCTGAATTTTTTAAAACATATATTTCAGGGACTATCAGAGGCTTGAATTTATTAAAGATGATTTTTTTAGGGTCTATCTCAGCCCGATTTTTTAAAGAATATTTTTCAGGGACTACCAAAGGCGTAGATTTATTAAAAAATATTTTTTTAAGGCCTCACAGAGGCGTGGATTTATTAAAGAATATTTTTTCAAGGCCTCACAGAGGCGTGGATTTATTAAAGAATATTTTTTCAAGGCCTCACAGAGGCGTGGATTTATTAAAGAATATTTTTTCAAGGCCTCACAGAGGCGTGGATTTATTAAAGAATATTTTTTCAAGGCCTCACAGAGGCGTGGATTTATTAAAGAATATTTTTTCAAGGCCTCACAGAGGCGTGGATTTATTAAAATTTTTTTTTCAAACCCATTCAAGGCCTCACAGAGGCGTGGATTTATTAAAGAATATTTTTTCAAGGCCTCACAGAGGCGTGGATTTATTAAAGAATATTTTTTCAAGGCCTCACAGAGGCGTGGATTTATTAAAGAATATTTTTTCAAGGCCTCACAGAGGCGTGGATTTATTAAAGAATATTTTTTCAAGGCCTCACAGAGGCGTGGATTTATTAAAGAATATTTTTTCAAGGCCTCACAGAGGCGTGGATTTATTAAAGAATATTTTTTCAAGGCCTCACAGAGGCGTGGATTTATTAAAGAATATTTTTTCAAGGCCTCACAGAGGCGTGGATTTATTAAAGAATATTTTTTCAAGGCCTCACAGAGGCGTGGATTTATTAAAGAATATTTTTTCAAGGCCTCACAGAGGCGTGGATTTATTAAAGAATATTTTTTCAAGGCCTCACAGAGGCGTGGATTTATTAAATTTTTTTTTCAAACCCATTCAAGGCCTCACAGAGGCGTGGATTTATTAAAGAATATTTTTTCAAGGCCTCACAGAGGCGTGTATTTATTAAATTTTTTTTTTTCAAACCCATTCAACAAGGCGTGGATTTATTAAAGAATATTTTTTCAAACCCCATCCAACAAGGCGTGGATTTATTAAAAAATATTTTTTCAAAACCCATCCAACAAGGCGTGGATTTATTAAAGAATATTTTTTCAAAGCCCATCCAACAAGACGTGGATTTTTTGAAGAATGTTTTTCAAATCCCATCCAAAAAAAGGCGTGGATTTTTTGAAAAATATTTTTTCAAAACCCATCCAACAAGGCGTGGATTTATTAAAGAATATTTTTTCAAGGCCCAAACAAGGCGTGGATTTATAAAAGAATATTTTTTCAAAGCCCATCCAAAAAAGGCGTGGATTTCTTAAAGAATATTTTTTCAAGGCCCATCCAACAAGGCGTGGATTATTTAAGAATATTTTTTCAAAGCCCATCCAAAAAAAGGCGTGGATTATTTAAGAATATTTTTTCAAAGCCCATCCAAAAAAAGGCGTGGATTTCTTAAAGAATATTTTTTCAAAGCCCATCCAAAAAAAGGCGTGGATTTCTTAAAGAATATTTTTTCAAAGCCCATCCAAATAAGGCGTGGATTTTTTGAAGAATATTTTTTCAAAGCCCATCCAAAAAAGGCGTGGATTTTTTGAAGAATATTTTTTCAAAGCCCATCCAAAATAGGCGTGGATTTCTCAAAGAATATTTTTTCAAAGCCCATCCAAAATAGGCGTGGATTTCTTAAAGAATATTTTTTCAAGGCCCATCCAAAATAGGCATGGATTTCTTAAAAAATATTTTTTCAAAGCCCATCCAAAATAGGCGTGGATTTCTTAAAGAATATTTTCTTCAAGCCCATCCAAAATAGGCGTGGATTTCTTAAAGAATATTTTTTCAAAGCCCATCCAAAATAGGCGTGGATTTTTTGACGAATATTTTCATTTAAAGTGCAAACTAATTCCCTGCCAGCATTTTATCTTTAAAAAATTATTATATCAGCCATATGCATATATAAAAATTAATCTATATAATAATTTTTATTTGATTAAATGTATACGCGTGTTCGGTGTCTCTATACATTGTCTATATGTATGTATATAATATTATGACATTCGTATTTAATATCCCATGTCTCTGTCAGATTAAAATATTTGCTAAACGACTAGACTTTGATTAGAGGAAGAGAGAGTGATTCTAATGTTTAATATTTACAGTTGTTTGGGTCAGTGGCGTAGCTGAAATACTTTACCAATAGATTTGTTAATTATTTTGACAAATTGGGTGGGGGACCCAAAATGCAGCCTCTTCTTTCATACTGAACAGTCAGGACTGGTTTGGCAACCAAATTAACTCTATATCTATCCCTAATCGACACTAAAAATAGTCTTTCACCCCTCCCATATCAATAATTACATTTTGCTAGTTTTTTCTAATTTTCTATTAATATATTTTTTGTGGTTGTTGCTGGTATTATTATACTGTAGTTGTAATGTAAGGGTTGCTGAACGTTTGCGTGTTATTCGGTAGTATAACAAAATATCTTATCAGCATAACAAAACTTGTTAATATACATTTTCGATTCGATTCGAAAACTCCCTCACAACAGAGTATCAAATATGAATGATGATGATTATGAAGTTCAAGAATTTCGATTACCATACCAAAAGTATACATTTTTGTTGTTGTTTTTAGGCTTTGGTTTTGCTTTTTGTCAAGGTTATAAATTTTGTTTATCATTGGCATAATAAGTGGTTCCTCATGCCCCATTAAATTACGAGGATCGTACTTTATGGTACAGTTGCGGCAATAAACTAGTAAAGTGTCGTTAATTTTGATGCCAGGCCGAACCTGTTATGTTCTCCACCATGAGGAGGGCATTCAAAATAACATCGATTTGAATTGTATGCCAAGACGTTTTTATATTATCTGAGAAAATAATACCAAATCCCTAAACCAAATATTGGTATGGGACCTTTTTCTGGGATTTTTTTTTTCAAAAGATCAACCTATGTAGAAGAAACTGCCAAACTTTGGATACCCTACACCACGTGGGGTGCATCCAAAATTACTTAAGTCGATCGGGACATTTATATGGGGAATTTGTTATGGTGTTATGTGATTGTAGGTTGTTAATGCTCCGAAAAAAATGTGTTTCAAATTTCTGAAAACTTAAACGGGATATTTTTAATTTATTTTTTATTCACCAGGAATCAGATATGTAAAATTATGGCCATTCTCATAAGGAAATTCGTTTAAAAATTTATTAATACCGACAAAGAAGCGGAACTTTAAGCTGGGGGTTATATCAATAGTTAGACCTATATATACACCTCACAAATTTGTATATATGTCAGCTTTTCAGAACCCTTTATGCCAAATGACAGTACGATCG